ATTTAATTCTAAAACAAAACAAAAAAATACTAAAATAGGTGTTTGTCTATTTGTACTTTTTTGTGAGTTGCTTTATTCTTCAATCATTTTTTCCTCCTTTTTACTGTTTGCTATTACATAATTGTGTTACATTGCAAAATACTTAACTCTTAAAACTATTATGTGAATGTATTTGAATACTTCAACTAACCGTTGTGTATGATAATGCCATGAACTGTGTTATTGTAAATTATCATAACTGGGAGAGGACATTTATAAGCTTTATAGCTTTCTGCCCAATCCCAAAATGTATTTTGTAAATATTGTTCACTTGTTAAATGTTTTGTTGAATAAATATGTTTAAACCAACCACTAGGCCAACTATGTTCCTGGTAGCATGTTCATGGTAGATGATTATAAAATTATGTACAATTATGGAAACGTCAGAATGTTTGTTTGTTTGTTATTTCAAACATAATTTCTTCTTTGTCCATATTTTTAAAAGTCGGCACTCAGAAACTAATAGATTTTTACTTCTGTGGAAAGGGCAAAACTGCTTTGTTTACATTTTCCTATCTTTCAGACACAGAACTGCACATCCAGCTCTACTTTCTTCAGTTTAATTTTTTTCTTTTTAAATCTAACATGTAAGAAATACATTATAGAAGTATGATTACACACATATTTGACATCTTTAAAAAAATATTGTTTTTTGAGGCATGATAATTATGGGCCTTTAACCTTATACCCCATGAGCATATTGCAAAAAATGGCCGTTTCCATTGAAAAACATCCTGTAACAAGTTCAAACTGCTATGAAACTATAAAAAATGCTTCAATACTCATGAAACTTGGCACAAATGTTAACTAGACCATAGCCTCTGTAGCAGCTTGCTAAATCTTAAATTTCCTGTTACCATAGCAACCGGAGTACGTCTCAAAATTGCCAAAAAAATCACTAGTTTGCATTGTTTTTTCCCATCAAAACTGATTTCAAAGTGCTGCAATTTCTCAATGAATTAATATAGAGTAAAATGCTTTTCGGCGTTGGTTACTAGTTACCCTAAGATCGACTTGAGGCGATTTTTAGCCCGTCACATGTCCAAAATTTTCTTGGCGATGAGGGGGGCTACCGATGGGAATTTCATTGGCCATTCTGAAATAAAATGTAAATAATTTCTGGCATTCTTAAATAGTTGTAAACTAAAATGTAAAGGAGAGTTCTTGCCATTATGAAGTAAAAATGTAAAGGATAGTTCTAAAATGAAACGTACATGACAGCTCTTTAACTCTTTGGTTTAATTGCTCGGATATTTAAAACTTTGCATTCAGACCTCATTGCATTTTCTAGTGAACAGTTTATTTTACGTAAAGAAATAAGCCACGTATTTTACACAAGATCTGAGCTTTAAATTCTAATTTGCATGGAAAAGTAAGAACTAACATAATTCAAGTTAACAAGCTTTCCTTCGGCCGAATATCTTTCTTCAAAGATATTTCTTGTTAATGGTTGGGTTTTTTCGTCGCAGCAAGACAATAATGGTCATTTGGCGACTTTCTAGCGTTGCTGATGAAGGAAAAGCTCGGATGCCCCTCTTTGCCGACTGCTAATGTTTTAAGAAATTGGGCCCAACCCGTTTGCTTTTGCTGTCTAGAATACATATGAAATTTGTATCTGTATATTGTATATACATGTATATAGCAATAAACTATGATTAAACATGTGCATTATTTAAGGCATGAATGGACATCCGAGAAGAAACACCGACGTCCCTTAGGCTAACTGGATAGCTTTCAAACATGAAATAATCCAAAGTCCTTTGCGATCAAATCTACACTACACCGCCCAAATCTTATAAATTAACAATACATTTATTCCAAAATTTCATGGCAGAACTGCTTTTAAACTGATCAAATGTGAAAACTTTGATAAGAGGTTTTTGATTTAAAAAATGTTAACAAATCAAGCAAATACATCTACATTCGGATATTAGCATACACAAACCTGGATGAAAGAACGGACAAGAAGTATGAAAAAAGTCAACAAAGAAGTTTGTATAATTATACGTAGTTGACGTTTGATAAACAAGGGAGACAACTCTTTCCTGATAGTGTTATATAACTCATTCGAACATTCAGGGATGTCAGTATCAAAATACATGTATAAAACTTTAGCTTTTAACAATATAGAGCCGAAATAGCCGTCCGGTTAGCTAAATAGGTAGAGGGTTGGATTGTGAATCGGGCGACCAGAGTTCGTTCCAGGACGGCGCAGCTCACTTTCGTTGTGATTGATCATGAAATCCTTTCTATGGTCCATCACACTGTACCTCTGCTGTGGCATGTACATTTAGTTATCAGTCCTTGCGAAAGTGAAGTGGTAAACTGCTTGACAACCTGGCCAGGAAGGATACAGTGGTTGAACTGTGCTCTGGTAAATTCAATGGAATTACGGACAGGGCGGACCGTAAGACAGGGCGGACCGTGACTTGAGACTAGGCGGACAATATTTTGGGACAGGGCGGACCGTCACTCGAGACGAGGCGGACCGTGATTTAAAAAAGTATTTATATTTAGCATTAGAAACCTTAGAAAATCGTCCGGTTTTCGGAATTCAGAGGTTCCGGTATTCAGAGGATTTTTTTTTCAATGAACATATAAGGAGAAAATACGGGTTTTTTTTAAAATGATCCGGTTTTCAGTGGATTCCGGTTTTCAGAGGGTCCGTTTTTCATAGTTTTTACTGTATACATTGTATATGAATGTTCAATGTACGTGAATATATTTGATGTTTTGAATTGTTACATGTTCATCATTTCGTTTCCGTATATCTGTATCTTATATCATGTCATGTAATTTAATCTTGTATTGGTATTGTAAATAATGTGTTGTGATGTAAAATTTGTATATAAAATCGTCATTCGACATCACTGTGTGTATTGTAATACAAACTGTAAGTCTTTGATGTGTTTTATTGTTTATATGTGCTTATTAAAATTATTTGCAATACAACACAATAACAAAAAATGAAGTGACATATTTAAAGAACAAAACTATTTTATTAAAAATTAACATAATAAGCACATGCAGACACATGGAATAGAAAGAACACTGAAATAGAATTTATTAAACAATAAAACACATCAAAGACTTACAGTTTGTATTACAATACGCACAGTGACGTAATTCGTTATCATTGTTATTTCGTGTATTGTACAACAAAATATATGTTTTTATGTGTCTTATCGTTTAATAAAGTTTATCAATTTTAGCAGCGTTAGCGACTTATTCAATGATATTGTAATACCTCGATAATTGGCCAATTATCACCTGCGTAAGTCGACGCAGTTACAAATAATTTCTTGAAAAAAAAAAGAGTATTAAACTACTCTAATATATATGTAACTTATGTTACATAGAAGGGTTTAGATTGAAATATTATAAAGAAAATCAAAATCATCCACAATTAATTCTGAATTAAATATTTAAATACTTTTTTAAATCACGGTCGGCCTCGTCTCGAATGACATCCTCCATTCAGCAAATTAATATACAATTACACATGAACTTTTAAAACTTATTTTATATTTTTACTTAAATATTAATACGGAGAACAAAAACATCAATAATTTATAGAGGATATTCAAGTTTTTGCTATAAATACATGAGTGGTATGAAAATAAATATTTCATGAGTGGCGGTAGCCACAAGATGAAAATACATCATGTATTTATGGAAAAAACTTGAAATTTTCTGTTTATTATATACATTTTTCTCATTTTTGACATTTAAATTTGAAAGACTTTCCCTTAAATTTGACGGAAACTGAAAATACACACAGTTTTATTTTATTTCATCAATATTACTCAATATTTCATTTATAAGTATATAATAAAATACTTTTTATTACATTAATCCACATATAAATACTTTTTTTAAATCACGGTCCGCCTCGTCTCGAGTGACGGTCCGCCCTGTCCCAAAATATGGTCCGCCTAGTCTCGAGTCACGGTCCGCCCTGGTACGGTCCGCCCTGTCCTGCAGGCATTCAATGTGGCTTACTGCTGTATTCCGGAGTGAGAACTACACACTATAAAGAACCTTGTCAGACTATACAAGTGCTGACTGGCTTGGCTCTATAGTGGTTGCAAATGCTAATCAGATTCGGTTTCAGCAAAGTACAGTAAAAACTCTGAAAACCGGACCCTCTGAAAACCGGAATCATCTGAAAACCGGACCATTTTAATAATTTGTATATGAGCAAAATATATATACACAGAACAATGTTTCATATTTTTTTCATCGTTTATTACTTCATAATACATGGTATTTTACAACGTTTTTTTTTACATCAACAAAACAACTTCTTCACAAAAATCAACTTTTTCACAAAAATTCATGCAAGAGTAACTCCGTAGATACCCAAAGTTCATTAACATATATTTGATAAATAACCATTTTGCGCATGTTTAATTATCAAATCAAAATACACATTCCTATGGCCCAATTATATAGCTTTAGTCGAGGATAAAACATGGCGTATTTTCATTACAGAAGGCCTGGTGCAAAAAACCAGTACCATGTGATATTTACTAGTATTTCAAAAACTTTTTCGACTGTTCAAAATTTTACAGGAGATAAGGGGGAGAGCCTGCTAATTCAAGAAAGAATGTTTATTCATTTTTTATCTTTCGTAACGTGCAACTGGGTAACTTACGGAAGATTTAAAGACATTGTTTAACTTTACCATAGAAGAGTTTTACAAAAAAAAAATACGTAGACTGTTTGCATTGGTTTCCTGCTACAGTGAAGGTCACGTGGTAAAGTTACGTGCATAGTAAGAACCGGATAAGGTTTTTAATTATGTCAAATTGACCACATAATTTTAACAGATGGTTTTCCACCTATAACCTGTGCATTATTTCAGAAGAAAACAATCAAAAAACCTGAGAAGGGCCACCAACCTTTTTTAAAAAGTGACTCCATGGCCATCTTCAAATATCACAAACATTAACTTGTGTAGATCTATTGCCAAAAAAATAGAATTCTTTACTTCTGAAATTCTGTCTTCTCTTTAAAACTTCCACCTTCATTTTATTTCAAAAATTATAGCCCATCATGATCAATCCAAAACTTTGATCTTTTTTAAAAATGACAAGCATCCTCTTAACACTTCCCATCCCCCAAAATCTATCTACACAGCCCTCTCGACAACTTCTGTCCGACTGTCACATCCCTCGCAGGGCTCAAACTTCCTCTCCTGCCGTTTCTAAAACAGCACCGCTGAATGATAGATCCCAGTATGATTCAACATTATGTTTTCTAAACTGTTCTCTGGCAAATGCCTCCGTCGGACACATTTTAAACTTCATCTCCCCAAATGCTCGATTCTTTGCCGTTCCCTAGCTGTGAAAGCCATAAATACTGGATTAGAAATATAATTGATATGTAAATTCAATAGATTTATTCCAAAAATTTGATTTGTTATTACTTTGATTTCATAGTATAGAATGTCCCAAATATATAGAAAATTGCATGCCGGAAGTATGAATGAAATGTAATGTACATGTAAGTCAAGAGTTCATAAAAAATTTGATATCTTACGGGAGAAGTTCAAATATGTTGAAAATGGCACCATTTGTTAAAACAAAATTTTCATCCCCCTATCACATCAGCCTAAAACTCCCATCAGCTGTAATGTATGTTAAAGCAGCATGCCTCCAGATTCATGCTTATTTTCATGAAAATTTTGAAAATGTATTTAAACAAGAGGGCCATGATGGCCCTGAGGTCGCTCACCTGTATATAGGCCCCCCAACCCCCATCCCCTCCCCAACGTTGCAGGTCCAATTTAACCCAAGGGCTTTTATTTGCACAAACTTGGTAGACACCCATAAGAAGATGTTTCATGCTAAACATCTAAGCTCTAGCTCAATGGGCTTTTTAAAAGAAGATTTTTTTTTAAAGTTTTTACTATACACATATAGTTAAAAACAATGACATCCCTGGGGCCTATATATGCATATAGGGAAAATCAATGACCCCCGGGGGCGGGGCCAATTTTGACCCCAGGGCTTTTATTTGAACAAATTTGGTAGACACCTATTAGAACATGTTTTATGCTCAATATCTTAGCCATAGCTCTTTGAGTTCTTTAAAAGAAGATTTTTTAAGTTTTTACTATATGCATATAGGGAAAATCAATGACCCCCTGGGGCGGGGCCAATTTTGACCCCAGGGCTTTTATTTGAACAAACTTGGTAGACAACTATTAGAACATGTTTGATGCTCAATATCTTAGCCATAGCTCTTTTAGTTCTTTAAAAGAAGATTTTTTAAGTTTTTACTATATGCATATAGGGAAAATCAATGACCCCCGGGGCGGGGCCAATTTTGACCCCAGGGCTTTTATTTGAACAAACTTGGTAGACACTTATTAGAACATGTTTCATGCTAAATATCTTAGCTCTAACTTTTTTGGTTCTTTAAAAGAAGATTTTTTAAGTTTTTACTATATGCATATAGGGAAAATCAATGACCCCCGGGGGCGGGGCCAATTTTGACCCCAAGGCTTTTATTTGAACAAATTTGGTAGACACCTATTAGAACATGTTTTATGCTCAATATCTTAGCCATAGCTCTTTGAGTTCTTTAAAAGAAGATTTTTAAAGTTTTTACTATATGCATATAGGGAAAATCAATGACCCCCGCCGCGGGGGGCCAATTTTGACCCCAGGGCTTTTATTTGAACAAACTTGGTAGACAACCATTAGAACATGTTTCATGCTAAATATCTTAGCTCTAGCTCTTTGGGTTCTTTAAAAGAAGATTTTTTAGGTTTTTACTATATGCATAGGGAAAATCAATGACCCCCCGGGGCGGGGCCAATTTTGATCCCAGGGCTTTTATTTATTCAGACATCATTCTGACTTAAAAGGCCTCAGTGTGACCTTAACCTTTGAACTAGTGACCCAAATTCAATAGGGTTCATCTAATAGTTATGACCAATCAAAATTAGAAATATGAAGACTTTGTGATAAATTGCTTTCAAGAGAATGAGCGGAAACCTAAACCATACTAACATAATGAAGAGCAAAAACTGAAACAATATTATATCATTTGTATGGAACATATTTGTGCCCCCACGTTAGTGGCAGGCATTTAGATTTACCCTTGTCCGTCTCTCCGTCCGTCCGTCTGTCCGTCCGTTCTTCCGTCCGTCCTTCCTTCCTTCCGTCCGTCCGTCCGTTCATTTTTGTGTCGCACGTAACTCAAAAAGTATTTGACCTAGAGTCATGAAACTTTACAGGAATGTTGATCAGCATGTGTAGTTGTGCACCTGGGTATTTTCGTCTGGATATTTTTAGTATTTTCAGAGTTATTGCCCTTGACTAAGTAAAATTTTGCAATTTTCAACTTGTGTCGCATGTAACTCAAAAAGTATTTGACCTAGAGTCATGAAACTTTACAGGAATGTTGATCAGCATGTGTTGTTGTGCACCTGGGTATTTTCGTCTGGATATTTTTAGTATTTTCAGAGTTATTGCCCTTGACTTAGTAAAATTTTGCAATTTTCAACTTGTGTCGCATGTAACTCAAAAAGTATTTGACCTAGAGTCATGAAACTTTACAGGAATGTTGATCAGCATGTGTAGTTGTGCACCTGGGTATTTTCATCTGGATATTTTTATCATTTTCAGAGTTATTGCCCTTGACTTAGTAAAATTTTGCAATTTTCAACTTGTGTCGCATGTAACTCAAAAAGTATTTGACCTAGAGTCATTAAACCTTATGGGCAGGTTGCTCAGCATATTTAGATTTGCACCTGGGTATTTTCGTCTGGATATTTTTAGTATTTTCAGAGTTATTGCCCTTGACTTAGTAAAATTTTGCAATTTTCAACTTGTGTCGCATGTAACTCAAAAAGTATTTGACCTAGAGTCATTAAACCTTATGGGCAGGTTGCTCAGCATATTTAGATTTGCACCTGGGGTTTCGCTTGTGGATTTATCCAGTATTTGTAAAGTTATTTCCCTTGACTTAGTAAAAAGATTGACAGAACAGTGGCGCGGTGGGGGCACCCGTGTCCTATGGACACATTTCTAGTTATAATACATTTGTAATAAATTTTTATCTCTAACGCTTATAGCGGGCATTGAAAATGACAAGCTGGTTGTTTGCTCACCAATACAAGATGAAACGTACAGGTCTGTTTTTCATGACTGCACAAGAACACTACCGTATAATTGACCTTAAAGTCTGTGGGTCAATACCCAGCAGTAGTTACATGTAGATCATGACAAAGTATTTTTAATAATTAAAACTTGTAAATAACATGCACAGAATTTCCATTGGCTAACGAAAACTCTTCAATTAAAGGTGAATTTATTTCTGATAGATCACAGTGTTTTCTTCTTTATATAAGTTATAACTACTACTCGAAAAAGGTACTGTTCCCAATGGTAAAAAGACATGAAAATTCCCAAATTCTAATGAGAAAATTCTCAAAATGACTTTTCAAAATTCCAGCAGGCCATGATATTTCTCTAAAATGATTATATTTATATTAATTACCACTCAATAGTTCTACCTGGACACTGGAAGATGTTAACTGTCTTTATTCATTATGGCTAATCTTATTTGTAGCTGAAAAGATGCTTAATAAAATTTGAGTCAAATTTGACTCAAAATAACGCATTTTTCCCAATCAGTCTGGTACCGGCACCAATAACCAAAGTAGAGAGAAAAAACCTGCTGGATCTATCCGATACCTTGTCATCATGATAATATAATGGCCGAACATCATCGGTAATATTATTTTTAAAAAATATGTATGTTCATTCTGTGTGAAAATGTAATAAGACCTGCAAATTACTGACTTCATCATTGCATTTATCTATTATTGAAAAACTACTGTACGGCTAGCCACAACAGTGTGTATTGGCTAGATATATGTGACTCACATACAGCTACTGCTAGAACTTCTGGCACCCAGTACGGGCGCGTATGGTAACACACTAGTCCAACTAATTGTACTGCGCGACGGGATTATGTGCTATTTTCGTGTCTGGGCAATATCTCGCCTCTACAGCGAGATTCTGCCCCAGAACGAAAATATCTCAGAATCAAGCTTTGGCACGTCAATATATTTTGACTAGGTAACACAATTGCTAAATACAAAGAACATTTTATTTCACAAATAAACGGTTACCAAAAGAAACATTTCATCTCTTCATTTTAATTAGCTTAAGGTCTTCAGCGTACCCGTTTATATACTATGACATGACGTGAACGCTGAAGATAACCCCATAGGGAAAGTCCACCAATAATCGTGCCAGGAATCTGACACGCTCGTATTTATTCATCGAACATGCCATGAAGTAAAGTGAAGCATACCTTGATAAAACTATATACATGTATAATCTGTTGATAAGCCGAGGATGGACAAATAAAAATCTTATTACGAACATAAACTACCTAATAGTTTCCGACAGGTAAAATTTTCGGCACTTGGCCGCCATATTGCCAAAATGTTTGATCACGTGATTACTCTATTCAAATCTGTTCCCGCGAATGACGTCATACGAGATCTCGCGTGGCACCTGAATGTCATGGCCAACAGTTGTAGTCGGCGTAAATTGACATTTTACAGTTAAATAGGCAATTTTAATGACTGTATTAATATTTTGATATTTAAATTGGTATAGAACGATATTAAAATAATTGTTTTATCGTAAAATGCACAAGAATTGATTGGGTCAAGTGTATTTGCAAGTGAAAAACAAGAATAAATCAACTTGTGTTATTCTGGTTAGGTTTCGAAACGGGTCTAATCCAAAACTTTAATGCCGCATCAGATGATTAACAAAAATGTTAAAGAGCGGCTTATAAAGTTTTGGAAGCCAGAACTACATTTTAATAACCTAAAGGATGTTTAAAAGGATCATTCTAATCATGCAAATCATTATCAATTCAGCATGTGTCAGGTTTTCAATAAACACATCGGTAATACAAAACATTTTCAATTTGTATATGTAAATTATTCAATTAAAATTATCCGCTAAGCATTGCAAGTTGTAGCTTGTGA